CCGAATCAACAAGGTAATAGTAATATGGAGGGGGCGAAGAGGTTTCTGGGGCTGACTCCGGTCGAGTCAGACGCCGTGTCGCGACTCGTGGTTCCAGAACGGGCAGCCGGCGCGAGAAAGTGCTTCTACGACGCTTTCGCTGTCGCGGGAATCCGAGTCGACCGAGTCGAACCCGGACTCGTCGTCTGTTCTTTCAAGGTCCCTCCTCGCCTCACCGTAAGTCATCTAATTAGTTCACTTCCCTCCTCGTTTTGTTATATTTGCATGTAAGTTTTGTATTGCATTTCTTGAAATTTAAAATCATCATCAAAAAAAGAAAAAAAATTCATCATCAAAAGCCAAATTAACTTGAAATGTTGGTAATTTAAGCTGTATTTTAATTCTTTTTAGTTGTTACGTGAGTCGGATCTCGGGAATGTTAAGTTCGCAACCAAACATTTTTGAGTTTATGTACAATTGGTGTGTTTTGATATGTCAAAGGGAATCCTATCCGGATCCATTTTGTAAGGATCATAAGTATTCTCACGTCTTAGTTATTCATCGTGTATTGTACAGTCAGAAATTATTTAATTTTTTTTGTTTAAAATTAAATATAAATAGTATTTGACGAAAACTGACCGCACGATATATGATAAATGGTCCACAAAATAGATCCGGAGAGGATTCCTTTCCATGTCGAAGTTTTAGTTTTAGTTCCTAATTTGGAACAAGGGTCCTCTCCAGATCCTCTTTGTGGGATCCAAGGATCAATCAATTTTGTCTGTTCATCGTATATTGCGCGGTCAGTTTCGTTAGGCACTATTTATATTCAATTTAAAATTTAAAATGATTTTTAACCTCACGATGTACGATAAACGAACAAAATTAATTGATCATCTAGATCTCTACAAAAAGGATCAAGAGAGGATCCTTGTTCCCTAATTTGAGTGGGGTTGTCCTTTGGCCTTTTCACGTGGATGATGCCTAGTAGAAAAAATGGAAGACTAACAAACGGAAAATTAACAACGGAAGAATTAAAAATGGTCAGGGGTAAAATTGAAAATTCATTAGGTACTTCTGGTTGGTCCATGTTTATTGGACTGATTTAGGTTAGGTTTTGTCCTAATCATTGAATAACATTATTACATAATTTTTTGTTAAAATTTAAAATTTTGAAATCCTTAGACCATCTCTAAAAGAGATGTCAAATTTTAAACATACAATTTAAATTAAAAACAACTTATGTGGTACTTTGATATCTTTTAAAGTTTTGTTCTGCCATTGATATGTTAAATTAAAGGGTAAAGTACAAAAAACTACTTCAACTATTGATGTTACGACACTTTCATACCTCATCTTTTAAAGTTGATAATGTCATACCTCATCTTTAGAATTAGTGTCAATGTTATACATTCCGTTAGCTTGGCCGTTTATTTCTCAGTTAAATATTTATTTCTCAGTTAAATATTGACGTGGCTTGATCCGGACCCATTTTTTATTAAAAAATTATTAAAATATTATTCAAAACTACAAAAAAAATCATTAAATAATTTTTAAATATTAAAATAATAAAGAAAAGTAAAAAATTAAAATTAAAAATTAAAAAAAAAAAAAAAAAAAAACCCTCACGTCCCCTTTCCCCACCCCCCCCCCCCGGTCTCTCTCTTCTCCCCCATCTTCATCTTCTTCCCCTTCCTGCAATCTAGAAAAAAAAAAGGGAAAAAAAAAAAAAAACCAATTTATCTTCCTTCCCCCCTCGCGATTTTCCCCGACCCCCCTTCCTTTCTTCCCCCATCCCATCTTCCCTAAACCCGCACCCACCCACCCTCTTCCCTCCACACCTATTCCCCCCATTTTGTCCGCGGCCAAGTTCTCGACCTTCGAAATCGGCCTGGCGAGGGTTTCCCGATTCCACCTCAACAAGATCTGGGTTTTTTTTTTTTTTTTGGGTTGCAGGTAGTGGGTGCGAGGTTGGGGGCAGAGGGTGGGTGCAGGAAGAAGGGGTGGGGAATGGGGAAGACAAATTGGTTTTTTTTTTTTTTGTTCCTCTTCTTTTTTCTAGGTTGCAGTTGTAGGAAGGGAGAAGAAGAGAGAGAGAAGGGGGGAAGGGGATGAACTAAGTGTTGGTTTTTTTTATTTATTTTATTTAGCTTTTCTTTATTATTTTAATATTTAAAAAATATTAAATGATTTTTTTAGTTTTTAATAATTTTTTAATAGAAAATGGGCCCCGGATCAAGCCACGTCGGTATTTAACTGAGAAATTCACGCCAAGCTAACGGAAGGTATAACATTGGCACAAATTCGTAAGATGAGGTATGACATTGTCAATTTTAAAAGATGAGGTATGAAAGTGTCGTGACACCAATAGTTAGGTAGTTTTTTGTACTTTATCCTAAATTAAATTATTATTTTATTATTTTACAAAATAAATTATTAAACTAATTAAATTTTAATAAATGACATTTAAAGTTTAGTCAGTAATCCGTTCACCTTCCTTAATTGAAGAAAAAAAAAAGTAGGCGATAATTGCATTGGTCAACTCAACATTGATTATAATAAATGATTAAACTAATTAAAAATTAATAAAATACATTTAATAATTAATAAAAAAAATTAAAGTTGATAGCAACCTCTTTTGCTACCAATCCATGTCATTGCCACATAATATTTGACATTTCCTTTGGATAGTTTTCCTTTTAGTAGTTAAATAAAGAACACAGAACTTACCAACTTGAGTCCTCCGCCCATCCCCACCCTTTCCCATCATCTCTTCATGTTTTTTTCTTGGTGCACTTGACCACCATCCCCATAACCGGAATTGGCATCAAACCAGCTAGGAATCTTGGGGCTGCCATCATCTCCTAACCGTAAGTCATCTAATTGTGTTTGCAGGATAGAAGTGGAAAGTTGGCAAATGGTGCAATTGCAAACCTTGTCGATCTTGTTGGAATTTCTCTAGAATTTGGCGAGGGACTCGGTAGTGTTTCAACCGACATATCTATCTCGTATCTCTCTGCGGCGAAGATTGGTGTAAGCATGGCCTCCCCCTCAAATCCCTGTTTTCGTATGAAATTTCATTCAGTTCAGTATCCTTAACGGACTTTGTGACATATGTGTATCGCCAGTATCGGTCAAAGTTGTACTAGTAGAAAGTTTGTTGGAAATGTCATGCGCGCTTTGTATTCGATCTGCATTTGAGCATTTCTAGCCACATATAACACACGTCTCGTTCGAATTTTCTCGGATGTCTCGAAAGGACTCTTATCATGCGATACTTTTTTCTTTCATGTCAAATTGCAGGACGAGCTAGAGATCACCTGAAAAAGATTAGGAAGAAGAGGAGGTTATACGAGAATAGTGATAGTTTTGAGAAACAAAACAACAGGGGAGATTACTGCCGAAGGTCGACATTCGTTGCTCCGTTCAAGTCGTGCTAGCAAACTCTGAGTTTCAACCTCCGCCCCCTTGAATACTCCTATGGCGACGGTCTTGACGTGTGACAACAAACAACTAGGCACAAGTTCTGGTGAATTCCACGGAGGCTCTGTACATTTATGGTCTCATTCGCCGTGCTGAACCATAAGTTAAAGAACGAATGAAATGAGTATTGTCGTAAAAACTTTATATTGGTATCATATTATGTAATTTATGTATGAACAAAACTTACTTCTAAGAAAAGATCTTTGAGATTAGCTGATCTCTGAAGAACCTCCGCTAGCAATTCCGAATAATAGCGATCACAAAGAAGTGAAGAACCAACTTCAATTGCTTGAGCGTATTAAAAGACGGCAGAGGACCAGCCATCATAAGAGATACAAGTATTACGACGATGATGATGACAATAACAAAGCTTAATCCCATTAAGTGGGGTATGCTATATGAATTATAGAACACCACTGGCTTGGTTTTGCACCAAGTCTTCTGTTAACTCCAAGTATTTCATGTTTTTTCTTAAAGTCTTTTTCCACCCCTTATGTCATAATCCTCTGTCTCACAATCGTATTCTAACCGAAACATCTATAGGTCTTCGTTTCTGATGTCAACTTACTTAGGCGAGGGAGGACCTTTAGATTCCAAAACTTCTTGTCAAAGGTTAAGCTTCACATTTACTCCTCATACATTTCCTCTATCAATATATCATTTACGAAAAACATACACCAAGGGATATTATCTTGAATGTGTCATGTTAACTCATCCATTACCAATACAAAAAGATAAGGACTTAAAGCTGAACATTGGTATAACCCTATGATTATGGGCCCTCATGAGTTCTTACTGCAGTCCTTAGTTCATCATGCATATCATTTATTGCTCGAATATATGCGTTTGGTATTCTTTTCTTTAGAATCCTCTAAAAAATTTCTCTTAAAATCCTATTATACGCTTTTTCTAAGTATTTATTTAACATAAATCCATACAGAAATTAAACTTTTCTTTGCGCACGTGAGACTATTTCAACTCAAAAATTGCAGAAATGAACAAGGGTACTTACCTCAAAACAATGGGCCAAAAGAGACAGATATGTCACATTGCGAACTTGTGGCAGGAGCGCCACCGTTCTTCTTCAATGCAGGGGTCTAGAAAGTTCTCTCTTTAACTCGTTCGAAGAGTTCATAGTTATTAATGTACAAACGGAAATGATTTCATTTACGCATTTCGTACGCTTACGTACATGGTTTAGCATTTGTTCAACCATGGAACATAACATATTATTGATGTGCCTTTGATATTAAACAGAACGTACAAACATGTAACGTACATTTTCGACAATATCAAAGCGCGTCTATTCTTTATTAAAAAATATACATAATGCTCAGAAAATATTTATTTGGTTAGTATTCGAGCGCTGCTACTACCGTCTCCGCCGGACTTGAGAATTTCTTAGGATACTTCAAAAGCAAAACAATGATGGGCTGTGGCCCATGTACGAGTTCACAATTATCCAAATCCAATGGAAACCCACAGGCCCGTTGTTGCTCTTACGTAATACGTACCTACTTCTTCGAGCCATAATGGTCTTTTGCTCTTTACATTCCAACCATGCCCGGAGCGAGTCGCGACCTGTGAGAGATGGATCCGAATGAACGAGGTAGTACTAATATGGAGAGGGCGAAGATGTTCCTGGGGCTGACGCCGGACGAGTCAGAGGCCGTGTCGCGACTCGCTGTTCCTGAACGGCAAGCCGGCGAGGGAAAGAGCTTCTTCGACGCTTTCGCCCTTGCGGGAATCCGAGTCGTCCGAGTCGAACCCGGACTCGTCGTCTGTTCTTTCAAGGTCCCTCCCCGCCTCACTGTAAGTCATCTAATTTACTCGCTTCCGTCCTCGTTTGGTTACGATTGCAAGTAAATTTTGGTTTACATTTCTTGAAATTTGGATTAGCAAAATCATCATCAAAAGCCAAATTAGCTTGAAATGTAGGTAATTTAAGCTGTATTTTAACTGTTTTTAGTTGTTAATTTTATATGAATTTTCTTGATTCTTTCAACATTTGCACTGGTACGATCATTTCTCCTTACAATTTAGGGGCAAATTTACAATTTAACCTATGCTTACTTTTATTTATTTAATCAATTTAATTTAAGAATCCATAAGTCACTTATTACTATGCATTATTGGCATTCGTGTTCACTTGTAGGTGAGAATTCTTAGGTTCGAATACCTCTCAGAAATGTCCAGTTCACAACCAATTTATTCCCCTCTCTTCTTAATGTAAATATATCGTTTTTATAAAAAATAAAATAAAAAATCTAAAAATTTATAAGAAGCCTATTAGTGTTCTCACAATGGAGTTGAATTTCAATTAATTTTGGATTGGATGATTTAATTTAATCATATGATATCAGAGCTAGGTTATTCTTGTGTCACACTTAACGGCCATAAATTAGAAGGCGCTACGTGTCAAGGGTATTTCACCATGAGGATGGAAGTTTCATATGCTACTTTTGCGTTGCCTATGTGATATGATTACGTGTTAATCATTCTAGTTGGGAACTAAGATACGTTTAAGAGCCTCTAATTGCTTGTTGAAAGGTAATTTGTGTAAGCGTATCTCCACCCGAAATAGGATTGAGCATGCCATAGAGTCACATTACTTGAACCAAGTTCCTAGTATAACCATATTGAACTTCTTAGACCCTCTCAACCAAACAGTTTTGAGTTTTGATATGTCAAATTTTTAGTTTTTGTTCTCAATTGTGTTTGCAGGATAGAAGTGGAAACTTGGCAAATGGTGCAATTGCAAACCTTGTCGATGTCGTTGGAATTTCTTTAGAATATGGCGAGGGACTCCCTATGATTGTTACAATCGACATGTCTATCTCGTATCTTTCTACAGCGAAGATTGATGTAAGCAAAGCCTTCCCCTCAAATCCTTTTTTCCGTATGAAATTTCAGTCAGTTCAGCACCCTTAATCGACTTTCTTGGCGAATTTCCGCCCCTATTGTGTAGAAGTGTCACCGGTATTGTTGCAAATGATCTCTTTTGGCATAAAACTTTGTTTTGCAATTTCTGTTTCTATAACAATTGATCTCTCTGTCTCGTCCTAATTTTATCGGATGTTCCTGAAATGACTTATAGCATGCGATATTTCTTTCTTTCATGTCAAATTGCAGGACGAGCTCGAGATCACCTCAAAAAGATTAGGAAAAAGAGGAGGTTATACCGGAACGGTTGTAGTTTTGAGAAACAAAACAACAGGGGAGATTATTGCCGAAGGTCGACTTTCGATGTTCCGTGCACTTGGTTCTAGCAAACTCTGAGTTTTAATCTCAATAGGGTTCCTTTCCTTTGAAACATATTGTATTTACCATTCATGTTTGGCCATCTAATGACTTGTATTGATTCCAAATCTTCTAATGCTATCGTTCTTAAGCAAATACTCTGCAAGTTCCATCTCAACCTCCCGCTCCTTGAATTCTTGGACGGCGATAGTCTTGAGGTGCGACAGCAAACAACTTTTCTTTGTGCACGCGATACATTTCGACTCAAAAGGAAATGAATAAGAGTATGCTTGTACTTGCCTCAAAACAATGTGCCAAATGAGAGATGAAACATTTCAAACTTGTGCCAGAAGCGCCATTACGCGGGAAAGGGCAGGTCGTTGCATCAATGCAGCGGGCTATTTGACACAACGTCCAGCTTAATATCAAGGTTTTCAAGCTTAGGGCATCAATAATAGATGGACGAGTTCCTAAACTAAGTAAAGTTTCTTGCTTGTTGGGTTCCAAACCTCCCACGTATATGGGTCAGTCTCCTATCCTTGCCGATATTGTGATTTACTATATCCATGTGAATTATGTCCTCTATCTCTATGAAGGAATTGTTCAATTATTATTCACTAATAAATAATAGGTGAATCACTGGTGCAGAGTCAAAAAGTTATTCTGACCCAACACCATTGATAAAACAATCCAATAAATCCAATTATAACAAGTTCTTATACGATTTCTAGTATAATTAGAAAATATTATTATTTAGTGTTCGTAGACCTACTTAAGCAGTTATGGTAGTTACAGTTCTTCGCTCTACCTTTGAAATGCATTCTCCACAACGTTTTAGATTCGTCGTGTGTGCTAAAATCGCTTGATTCGCTGAAATCGTTGCCATCTCTAAGATCCAGATCGAAGAATGACAATGACGACTGTTCTTCCCGGTTGTTCCTTGTGACGAAAGGAGTACAAGGCTCGAAAGCACTTTTTCACTCTTTCATATACTAGGGGATTTCACTTGGAAAATAAAATGTTCTATGCTAATGGATTCGGGTCCATAACCATGGGCTCTATCAACAGACAAACTTATGCGCAACGATTTCAATTTAGGTGCGGAAATTATGAAGTTTAAACCTTCGTGAGCGCTGATATCTCCGTCAATACTCAAGCCTTCAAGTACAGAGCAGCATGAAAAAAGCGTGGAGTAAGAGAAAAGCACACAATCAACAGATGTCGTAAAAGGATAAGAGCCATAGCGACCTTTCTCTGTAGTTAAAATCTTCAAGTTCGCTCAAGTCTAAACAGGTAACAAAAGTCCATAGGTTCTTCCATCTTTTAGACAAAACGGCGGTCCTCGCAACATATTTTGTTCGAAGGATTGAAAGGATGGGACAAGGGACTACATGCGGTAAGAGCATCTCCATTGAGAGTTTTCAAAGCTGTCCTTATAGATGTATGCCCTTATATATAAGGACTGTGGGACTTCCAATGGGAAGGAGCAGCTGTCCCTATAGTATAGAAACTCGCTCAAAAATCTCCACATATAAGGACTCCATAGGAACTCTTGAGTGGAGCCCAATGTTGATTTTGAGTGGGACAGAAGCCCTCGCCCAATCCAGGCTTTTTCTTTTTTTTTTTCTTATATAATTATGTTCTTATTGTTTGGATCAATGATTTTTTAATCTTTTAATCCCTGCTAAACTATAAGAACCATCCATTGAGGATAATATTTATTTAGAGACCTGAAAGTTCATTTGACGTAGTCTTTAAAAATGTTGGTGGGAGTTTTTATTTAAAGAATATAATCAAAGATGCTCTAAGCCTTAACCTAACCTAACCACTGATTGATGCTTTGACGTGGAACCATGGGCGGATTCATATAGGGACCCGGGAGGTCTCGGACCCTCTCGAAGCCCTGAAGAAACATTTGTGATCGACCTTCGGGATCCTCCAACAATTTGGGCAGGTGCAGCGAAGCCTCCATGGATGTGCATGCAGCAATGCTTACAACAAAGAAGAAGAGGTTTCTAATTTTTGTTTTAATCCTCCAAATCGTCACAACCTCTCAACTTTAAACTCAAGTTACCCCAGTCCCTAGCACCATTTACCGTTCCACCACCTCTAGCTGCCTAAATTTATTTCTTCCAAATTCATTTAAGTTTTTTCAATCCTAGACTCTAGTCTCAACTCCCATTGTAATATATATGTTACATTAACAAATTTCATCTTTGTAAAGTCATTAATTGATGCGTTATGTTGCTGAGGAGAATTTGTTGGTTTTGTTACCTTTGAGATTAATCTTGATTATTATTATTTTATTTTTTTTAAAAGCGGGACAACTAGTGGCAAACCACGGTTATCCACCCTTTCTGGGGGCCTAGAAGACTCACAATGGCATTTCAGCTTTCTCCTAACCACAGTCAAGCGGACTTACCAGCTTGGAGCCTCAAACCCGAAACCTCGTTGTTTTTTCTATTTTGAGAGTCAAAATCCGCGTCCTTACCATTGAGCCACTTGATGTGGTTAATTAATTTTGATTATTCAATGAACCAAATTCAATAAAAAAAATAGTGCTATGGAACTAAACTAGTCTAATATTTTTTTTTTGAACTTTTATTTTGGGACTCCCGATCTTGAAATTCTAGATCCATCACTGCATGGAACCCTTTTGTACCCTCATCCTTTATTAACATAAAAATCTAATCATGTGATCCACAACTAGTTGACGCATCTAGCATCGCCCAAACCCAAAATGTAGACAATGAAATGGAATCCGGATCCATTCATCGTACTGTGCAATAAGAAATCATTTGATTTTTTTATTTAAAATTAAACACAAATAATATCTAATAAAAACTGATTGCACAATGTACGATAAACAGTTAAACATTGAAGATTCTTATAATCCTCCTAAGGTGGATTTAGAGAGGATTCTCTTCCAATAAAAGGTAGTGAAAAATCATTTCAGTACCTAACTCCCGCAATAATTACCGGTTTACAAAAATTAATGATTTGATAATATAGATTTCCACTTCAGCCCTCAAACTTTCTCCGAATTTACAGACCCGCTCTAAACATTTTTTGCAGAACAGGAGGGCAGTCCACGTAATTTTGGCACTATCAAAATACGCGATTTCCGTCGTCACTCTCACTGGCGACTGGGACTTTCTCCGCCACTGCGCACTTGACCATGGCCTCCGCAATCCGAACTTCTTATCTTGATCTCTCCCCAGACCGAAACGTTACGAAACCCGAATCGAAGTTCACGATCCCTCCGCGTTTCGTCGACTCGCGGAACCGAAACAACCGATTCCAAGACGTTTCGTCGGTGAGCTCGCTCCAGAGAATTCGACTGCGGCATGACTCGGCCGTGCTCCGCTCCGTTGTCCCTCACCGAGTTAGGGTTCCTTCTAACGACGCTCAGTTCGGTTCGTTTTCGGAGGAGAACGAAGTTCAGGCGCCGAGTTTCGCCGAGTTTATCACTTCGGAGCGGGTCAAAGTTGTGGCGATGCTCGCTTTGGCGCTGGCTCTCTGTAATGCGGACCGTGTCGTGATGTCGGTGGCAATTGTGCCGTTATCGCTCTCTAATGGCTGGAGCCGCTCGTTTGCTGGTATTGTTCAGGTAGTTATCTCCTCATTTCTCCTTTTTAAATTTAATTTAATTTAATTTTTTATTGAAATGATTTTATTTGAATTTATGAAGTATATGAGCATAAAAAGTTTTGAATTTAATGCCTTCAGCTGAGGGACTGGTCCAAATCACCGAAGAATTGAACTTGAATCAAATAATTGGTGATTTGAATATTGAGAAGCTGTTTAAATATGTAGATGTTGAATCAATGGACTCGATTTATTCTCATGATCTTATTATGACTACGGAAAGTAATTTCCACACTTATTTTCTCCCCTTGCACACCCATGTTTATTTATGCATGCGGACTGAATAAATCAAAACGAGAATCAAGAGACATAATAAACAGGGTGTGCAAAAGGAGAAAATGGGCATGCTGAAAATGATTTCTTTATTATTTTTAAACTAAAACTGTTGAAATCATGGGTTTTCAACAAAATCGATCTAGAAATTGTTTTTGGTGATAGTAGGGAAGCTGAAATACTCATTTGAAAAAATGCTTGGCAGTCATCTTTCCTTTGGGGATACATGGTATCTCCCATAGCTGGAGGGACACTTGTGGACTATTATGGTGGTAAGGTAGTCATGGCATGGGGGGTTGCTTTGTGGTCTTTAGCTACCTTTCTTACACCGTGGGCTGCAGAAACTTCTCTATGGGCTCTCCTTGCTATGCGAGCTCTCCTTGGAATTGCAGAAGGAGTGGCTCTTCCGTGCATGAACAACATGGTAGCAAGGTGACGGTGCTCTCTAAACTTCGTTTTTTGATTTATCAATCGCATTAAAGTCAATTTAATGATGTGCTTCTAGACGCACGGGTTCTTTTTCAGTTAAATTGTTGGTTGAGCTTTGATCAAGGTGTGAACTTTGTGTTTCAGGTGGTTTCCTCCAACAGAACGAGCCAGAGCTGTTGGACTTGCAATGGCTGGGTTTCAGCTTGGAAGTGCAGTAGGACTCATGCTTTCTCCAATCCTTATGTCACAAGGTGGTGTTTTTGGACCATTTGTGATTTTTGGTTTATCTGGATTTCTTTGGGTTTTGGTGTGGTTATCTGCAACATCAAGTACTCCTAACCGAAATCCTCAAATATCAAAATATGAATTGGATTACATATCGAACAAGGGGCAGAAGTCCTTTTTGGTGGAGAATAAACCTAAGACAGCCAAAGTGATCCCTCCTTTCAGGCGCTTGCTCTCTAAAATGCCAACCTGGTCCATAATAGTTGCGAATGCCATGCACAGCTGGGTAATGCATATACATCTCATGTCAGGTTATTTTACTCTGAGAATCATGTTGTTAGTGACCTTAAAATGTGTTGAATATAACATCATCTAATTGGGGACAAAATTCCAATAGATAGTTCTTGTGAATTCATATTTGCTTTGTATCCTTGTATGGAAATTATATAAGCTTGCACGGACTCATTATTTTTGTTTCCTTTTTCAAATTTTGCAGGGTTTTTTCATTATTCTTTCCTGGATGCCCATTTACTTCAACTCTGTAAGGCCTAATATTTAACTGTATTTTCTTTTTTCGCTTTCTATTGTGAGGGTTGTGTAGCTTATGCTTGACTCTCTACTCCAGGTGTACCACGTTGACCTCAGACAAGCAGCTTGGTTTAGTGCTGTTCCATGGAGTGTCATGGCGGTCATGGGATATGTTGGTGGTTTGTGGTCAGACATATTGATACGAAATGGTACAAGTGTCACTTTGACTCGAAAGATCATGCAGGTATGTCAAGGAAATGCGGTCTATGTACTAGTTTTTGACTGTAACGAGTCATTAAACTTAAAGATGGATAATCCGTTCTCACTTCAAATATGGATAGAATGATCAATAAAATAGATGGGAAGGAAACTTCTATATTTTGAGCTTATTTGCAGAAGGTTATACTTGTAATCTTGAAGTTTAGTATTATCACATGTTTCTCATCACCGGGGACTGTTAAATTTCTAGTCAAAGTAGATCTTTGTTCAAGAAAAATTTTATATCCTATAATTTCATATATGAATTGAATTTCTAGTCATCTTATTGAATGTGAATATTGTTCCTTCTCTGCAGTCAATCGGTTTCGTTGGCCCTGGGATAGCTCTTGTGGGTTTAGTTACAGCAAAAAGTCCAGCAGTCGCATCTGCTTGGCTTACTTTAGCAGTTGGGCTGAAATCTTTTAGTCACTCTGGTTTTCTTGTAAATCTCCAGGTTGGCACAGTGAATGTTGTTAAAGTCAACTCTTTGTTAGTAGTTAGTACCCAGAATTGATACTTTATTTGTTTGGTGTGACTTAATTATTATGTTTCTTTAACCAGGAGATCGCTCCACAGTACTCTGGTGTTTTACATGGTATGTAAAAGTAGAATTCAGTTTATTAATTTTCCAAAGCTTAGTGAAATATACAAACTTGTTTATTTGGTAAAATTTGATATTATCCCGTTATTTGTTGTGTTAGGAATTTCAAATACCGCGGGAACATTTGCTGCTATTTTGGGAACAGTTGGAGCTGGTTTCTTTGTTGAACTCGTGGGTTCTTTCCAAGGATTTCTATTGCTCACATCAATCTTATATATTCTTTCTGCCCTTTTCTACAACGTCTTTTCTACTGGAGAGAGAGTAAATTTTGATGAACCTAGTAAGTATCACTTGTTATTGCTTCTTCAAACTTGATTTTCCGTCCAAGCCCCCTCTCCGCTTTTAAACTTCCATTAGGAATTACGGAGATTTGACTTAATGACCAATTCGTTGCTTTGTTATACCGTTTAAACATTACATGGTTTTATACTCCTAATGGGTTGACAGTTTTATATCCCTAATGGCATGTGGATTGACTTTTGCTTGACAGTTCATGAATGATATTTTAAGGCTGCTGGTGAAGCATCAATTGATGATGATGAGACGATGCGTTTTCAACTGTAACTAATGGAGCTGTCTTATGGAATTGGACAGTTTGTTGGAAAGCGACTTGACGAATGGTACAGATCGTTTGAAGTCATCCGTTGTATCGATAAATAACCTTTTTGTTCATTGTATGAATCCAAAGTGTGTACAGTGGATTTTCTAGTAGTGTTCCTCCTCCTCATGCATCAGTAGTTTGTTTCAGGTGCATATGGGGATTCTGGTTACCAAATTTTGTAAAAGATATGTATAAATATGTTCCGGAGGTATGATGCCGGATTCTTTCCTCTTACTTCCTCATTGATTGGTTTCGGTTAATATCTACACATGCATGAACGACTGATGATAGCATTTTTTTTCGAGTGATAGCCAAATGCAAATCAATATCGTTATTTTAGATATATCAAGTAAAAAGTTGAAGTCACAAGCGCATGTTGAAAATGAACACTAAAAATGAAGATTTGAGCAAAAGAAAATGATTTACACAATCCCACCTTTTGCATTCATCCATCTGTGTATGTTTCTTAATTATTTCTTATTTTATTCAATCAAATGGTTAGAAAAAGAAATGGGCGTACAGAAGAAAAAGGGAGTGCGGAAATGATGATGCAACCTATTAATGTATTGTTCCATTGGAGAGATTTTTTAGTGTGATCGGTATACGGGATGGTACATCATGTGTCATTAAACAAATGGTGGGATATGTGTGCTAAAAAATTAATAACTTAAAAAAAAAAAATTCCACCATGCCTTAGTGTACCATTTGTATTCTCATTCTAACTAAAAATTTCTCGCCAACCAAATAACATTAAAAATTAAAACCATTCTTCCCTTTTTTTTTTTTTTTTTCTGTTTTGGCAACCACTATTAACATATTATTGAATTCTTCTATTGACCAAATCATAACGTTGATAATTCAAATTACTGTAGCTAAGTTGTCCTTAATCAAAACACGGAATCACGATTAAATTACTAATCACTTGAATCAGTCTTACAAAGCAAAATTTTGGACTTAAAATTATATAGGTAAGAATCATAAATACATGTAAGCAACAAATGCCATGTTTGTTTCGTTTCATCAAAAGAGATGATCAAAATCCGCATCGGACGGCCAAAAACTCCATAACTTGTGGCCATGAAGAGAACGCCAGGTCCTCACAACCTGCAAACAAATCAGAGGAAGCAAATCTCCAGTTTCCAGCATGAAGATGCCAACAAGAACAAAATTAAGCAGCAGCATCGAACAAGTCTTATAAGGGCAGCGGTGAAGAAGGTTGCCGGGATTTTCAAAGTTCTCTTCGGGCAGCGAAAGGCTGCTGCTGTGATTGAAACAAGAAGAAACAGTTCTCGAATCCAAGGGATTTCGTGTAAGTTTTCAACTTTCGTGTTGCTTCTGCACAAATCTAAAATTAGACATGTTTGGAAGTGCTTTTAGAATAGCTAAAAGCACTTTCTTCCAGACATGCTTTGGATTTTTATTGATAAATTTGGATGTAGTTTGAATGAAAGTGCTTTTGAGTAGATGTTCTTTCTGTAGAAGCATTTCCAAATGGACTAAGATCATGTGTTTTGCAGCTTGGTAGATACTGTACGTAGATGTAGGCCTAGTTTGGTACCGAAGTGATTCTGAAAAAAAATGGCTATGAAAAAAGGCTTGGAGCTTTTTTATGTTTGGTAAACATTTAGCTTCAGCTTTTTTTCACATTTTTGGATGAAAAAAACCCAAAAACACAAAGCTGCAAAACCCAGCTTTGAAAAATCAATTTTCTTCACGTCTGTTTTACATAAAAGTTTATCAAACATTGTAATACTGCTTTTTTGGTTTTTCAAAAGCACTTTTACAAAAAAAAAGTTTACCAAACACTCTGTTGCTTTATTTTATAGCTGCTTATTCTTAGAGCACAGCAAAACCAGTTCTTTTTCAAAGCACAACAATACCAAACCAGCCTTTCAAAAGTCGAACATTGAGTAGTTTTGTTGATGTTTTCTTCTGCCCTGCAGCTTCAACTGATCGTTCGGCAGGGAGTGAGACTAGGAGTAGGAGCTCGTCAAAGTTTAAGCTCTCACAGTCCACTAGTTCTGCCAGTGGATTAATTGAGATGACGAATTTCTCCTACGAAGAGATTCTCAAAGCAACCGAAAAATTCTCTCCCGCGAATAAGATTGGCCACGGTGCATTTGGAACCGTCTACAAGGGAAGGCTCGGAGATGGATCTCTTGTTGCTGTAAAGCGTGCCCGGAAGGTATGGATATTGGTGAAGCATTGTTCGGACAATAGTTAATGTCATTTTCTGTTAGCTTGCATAACGACTTGAAATTTGCGCAGGCTGTGTCCGACAAGCACTTAGCAATGGAGTTCAAGAATGAAATACTTACCTTGTCAACGATCGAGCATCTGAATTTGGTAAGGTTATATGGATACCTGGAGCATGGAGATGAGCGGATTATTGTGGTTGAATACGTTGCAAATGGAACGCTTCGCGAACATTTGGATGGTAAGTCTTGTGAAAACTTATGTAACTTTATTGGGTTAGTAAGTATAAGCCGGAGAGCAGAATTCGTACCCGAGTATCTGTTAGACATAAGTTCATCAGGTGGAATATGTCAGTTCCGCTGAGAAACTGGAAATGTTACTTCAAAATTTCAAATAACAAAAAGAGTTAGATAAATCAAACTAGAAATAACATAGTACTTCGATACAGAAATGTTCTTTATAAAAATAGTCATCTTTTCATGAAGGTATCATTGGAAATGAATTTGAAACTGGGGAACGTTTGGACATTGCTATTGATGTGGCTCATGCAATCACCTATCTTCACATGTATACAGGTATGCATATCATTTTCAATCCAGAGTACTCGACCGATAAAGATTTTTTCATTTTTCTTCCCAATTAGTTTGATTAGACTTGGGAATTTGACAACCTAAAACATCTCATGTATTTGACAGATCCTCCGATAATCCACAGAGACATAAAATCTTCAAACATCCTCATCACTGAGAAACTTCGGGCTAAAGTGGCGGACTTTGGGTTTGCACGAGCATCTGCAGACCCAAACGCAACTCATATTTCAACTCAAATAAAAGGAACTGCAGGATACTTGGACCCCGAGTACCTCAAGACTTATCAACTCACCCAAAAGAGTGATGTTTATTCCTTTGGTGTCCTGCTTGTAGAACTTATGACAGGAAGACGACCCATCGAACCACAGAAGCCAAGCAATGAAAGAATAACAGCAAGATGGGTAAGAGTATAACTTATTAAGCATTCTTTACATTACTAAACCAACATGAAGCTGGAAATTTGTTGGGATTGATGTCTGTTTCTGTATGTTGCTTTGCGGTAAAATCTTCCCATATTTCCACCTTACATGATTTAGCCATCGCTAAAGTCTTGTTTTACTGTTAATCTCCCCGATTTCTTTGACTTCCGACATTCATCACATGTTTCTGTTGAACTTTAGACATTTTGTCATTCATGCTCTAGTAACATCCACCATGTTCCTGTGTTGCATTTGCACATGAAACACTCATCAAATGAAACCGCTACAGGTGCGGTGGCTCAGTTCATCCTCCTCTTCAGACGTCCTGTTCCCATGTGTTATAGACAAAGATAAGGCATTAGAAGTGGTACGAACCAAACATCAGCCTAACCATGTTAACACATAGATACCCGACAAAGCAAATTCCAAAATTAGAAACAGAAGAATTTTATCATTCGAATTACAACTAGTAGTTGTATAATTCTAGTAAAGATTGAAAATGCATGTGCTTTTAGCTTCAAATTCATGAGACCGGTGAAGAAAGTTTCCGATCCCTATAGATTATCGAAGCACAAATGAACTGTTGTTTACATCTGCAGGCAATCCAAATGTTGAAACGAGGAGATGCGATACTTGTCATGGATCCAAGGCTACGGAGAAATCCGGCGTCAACCATGGTATTGGAGAAAATCCTGTTGCTAGCTCAACAATGCCTTGCACCTCTAAGACCGTCAAGACCCTCCATGAAAGAATGTGGTGAAGTATTATGGGGAATTCGAAAAGATTTTCGAGAAAAATCCCTCTCTTCTTCCTCTTCTGCTGTTCATTGTTCTGCCAATTATCCTGTGAGAGATCCAAAGATGACTCGGCAGATATCGTTTGGGATTCAAGATGATGATAGGCATAAATTTATCTCTGCCTAGCTTTTAAGAATTTTGAGCGAATTATTTACTTAAATTTGTTTTCTTGTTTAATTCAAGTGTTAATTTAAACAAAAAAAAAAAAAAAAAAAAAAGGATCTTTGTGTATAAAACTCAATCTTCAAATATTGAAATTCAATGTCAATCAGATTTTGTGATGTATGTAGTTCTTTCTCTTAAAAGTATTAACAACAGAGATGAACTCCATAGAAATCAAGAAAGATACTGGAAGAGGAAGCTTGAAGAAGAAGCCAAAAAGGAAAAACTCTCTTTATATTTCACTTAATATTTCTGATATTACAACATACTAAAATATTAATGAAGGAAAAGCTATTTATACTATCTTATCTAGTAAGCCATACATGCACATGTTTCTCACGTGTAGTAATAGTCCTATATACTCCAATAAAAAGGACATGTAAAACCCAAACCCACACTGCATAAACTGTTGTATTCCATTCTTCGTGTAAAACCCCTTTTCATGCTTCCAAAGCTTTTGGACTACCTTTGGAAAAAGCACTTCTCTCATACAACAACAGAGTTGTATCATGACATTATTAGTTTTTTTTTTTTTTAGATGAGTGATGTTAATCTTACCACATATTTGTATCATCATTTATACTATCTTTCTAATAAAAGTAGGACCCACTAACACAAATATGTGATAAAAGTAGCATTTGGGATACGTATCATTATTCCATCATTGGGAAACTTGCCTATTCTCCTTCTATCTTCTCGGCTCTTTTTGACATAGTACAATATTGCACGATAATCCAATCGTATATTTTTTGAGTAATCAATTAAAGATTAACCTTGCCAAAAACCAACCAAATTCGAAATCCTTTAATTATCTAACGATTATTCAATAAATAGACGAGCTATGTTATTCAGTTAACTAATACTTTGATAACGTTAATCATATGGTTCAACGATTTTTAAATGGTGAATTAGAAAATAGACAATTTTGATCATGGTAAACATTGTCGATGTTATACATAAATCACAACCCCATACCTAAGTCAAGAGATGCTAACAAAATTGTTTCGCTTAGCTATAGATGTTTATCAGTCATTAACATGGAAAAAAACCTTGTTATATTACATCGAAGA